GTTGTTTGCTAATGTTTACCGTGCAAAAATAATAATTCAATATAGTCATGTTATCCCTTTCAGTGATGTTTATTTAAAAAAACCTGAAACTTAAAATAATAAATTGTTATGATAACCCCATACATTTTATTAGCATTTATATAGAGTCCACCGCTCTGCCCTCATCAATCTTCTTCGTGACTTCTTCAAAAAATTCAATCATTAGTCAGACACGATGTGCCATGCACAAAGCCATGTTGACTATCCCTAATCAGTCCTTGCCTGTCCAAATACATGTAAATCCTGTCCCCCAAGATCCCCTCTAAAAACTTGCCCCCCCGAGATGTTAGGCTCACTGGTTTATAGTTACCTGATTTTTCCCTTACACTTTTCTTAAATAATGGCACCACGTTAGGCAACCTCCAGTCTTCCAGCACCTCGTCTGTGGCTAGTGACAAATATTTCAGCAGGGGGCCCAGCAATCACTTCCCTAGCTTCCCATAGAGTTCTAGGGTACATCTGATCAGGGCCCGAGGATTTATCCACCTTTATGCATTTTAAGACGTCCAGCACATCCTCCTCTGTAATATGGACATTTTTCAAGATGTTGCTATTTATTTCCCCAAGTGCTCTAGCTTCCATATCCTTCTCCACAGTAAACACTGATGCAAAATACTAGTGTCTTCCCCATCTCCTGCAGTTCCATACATTGGCATCCTTGCTGATCTTTAAGGGGCCTTATTCTCTCTCCAGTTACCCTTTCATCCTTAATGTGTTTGTAGAATCCATTTGGATTTTCCTCAACCCATTTGCCAAAGCTATTTCTTTTTGCCCTCCTGATTTCCCTCTTAAGAATACTTCTACTGCCTTTACACCCTTCTAGGGATTCACTCGATCCCTGCTATCTATACCTGGCCTATTGTTTCCTTCTTTTTCTTCACCAAAACCTCAATTCCTCTAGTCATCCAGTATTCCCAAATCTACCAGCCTTGCCCTTCACACTAACAGGAACATACTGTCTCTGGACTCTCCTTATCTCATTTTCGAAGGCTTCCCAATTTCCAGCCGTCCCTTTACCTGCAAAAATCCGACCCCAATCAACTTTTGAAAGTTCTTGCCTAATACTGTCAAAATTGGCCTTCCTCCAATTTAGAACTTTAACTTTTAGATCCTGTCTATCCTTTTCCATCAATATTTTAAAACTAATAGAATTATGATCACTGGCCCCAAAGTGCTCTCCCACTGACACTTCAGTTGCCTGCCCTGCCTTATTTCCCAAGAGTAGATCAAGTTTTGCTCCTTCTCCAGTAGGCACATCCACATGTTGAATCATAAAATTTTCTTGTATGCACTTAACAAATTCCCCTTCATCCAAGCCCTTAACAGTATGGCAGTCCAAGTCTATATTTGGAAAGTTAAAATCCCCTACTTTACCACCCTACTATTCTCACAGATAACCGAGATCTCCTTACAGATTTGTTTCTCAATTTCCCACTGACTATTGGGGGTGGTCTGTTGTACAATCCCACCAAGGTGATCATCCCTTTCTTATTTCTCAGTTCCATGCAAAGAACTTCTCTGGACATACTGTCAGGAATATGCTCCGTAAGTGTAGTCATAATGTTATCTGTAATCAAAAATGCCATTCCCCCTCCTCTCCTGTCCCCCTTTCTATCCTTCCTTTAGCACCTACACCCTGGTTCATTTAGCTGCCAGTCCTGACCATCCCTGAGCCATGTCTCCGTACTCGCTATGATATCCCAGTCCCAAGTTCCCAACCGTGTCCTCAGTTCATCTGCCTTACCTGTTAGGCCTGTTGCATTGAAATAAATGCAGTTTAATTTATCAGTCCTGCCTTGTTCTCTGCTTTGTTTCTGCCTGCCCTGACTGTTTGGATTGTTCCTTTTTCCCAACTGCACCAGTCTCAGACTAATCTCTTTTCTCACGATCTCCCTGGGTCCCACCACACCTCCCCAAAACCACAAACCCCTCTCCCCCACCCCATCCCCCCAACTCGTTTAAATCCTCCGGAGCAGCCAATTAGCCCCTTCCCTATTCAGGTGCAATCTGTCCTTCTTATTCAAGTCCCTTCTATCCCAGAAGAGATACCAATGATTCCAATGATCCAAAAATGTGAACCCTTCTCCCCTGCACCAGCTCCTCAGACACGCATTCATCTGCTCTATCCTCCTATTTCTACTGTCATCAGCTTGTTGCACAGGTGTAATCCAGATATCACTACCCTTGAGGTCCTACTTGTTAAATTCCTGCCTAATTTCCTATATTCCCTCCTCAGAACCTTGTCCTTTTCTGCTCCTATGTTGTTAGCTCCAATATGTACAACAACCTCCTGCTGGTCCCTCTCCGAAAATATTCTGCACCCTCTCTGAGATATCCTTGTTCCTGGCACTACAGAAGCAACACACTATTCTGATGTCTCGCTGTCAGCCACAGAAACGTCTGTCCGTGCCTCTGACTAGACAGTCCCCTACCACAATTGATCATTTGGAACCTGACGTACCCCTCATTACATTAGATCCAGTCTCGGTACCAGAAACCTGGTTTTTAGTGCTAGATTCCCTTGACAGCCCATCACCCCCTACATTTTCCAAAACAGCATACTTGTTTGAGATGGAAATAGCCACAGGAGACTCCTGCACTACCTGCCTACCTTTCCCACTAGAGGTAACCTATCTACGTGACTGTACCTGCGGTTTTTCTACCTTCCCAAAAACGCCATCCATCACACTCCCTAGCTCCTGTAAATTCCTCATTGCCTCTAGCTGCCGCTCCAACCGATTCATGAGATCTGACAGGATTTGCAACAAAACACACTGCCTACAGACATAATCATCAGAAACACTGAAATTCTTCGTAATCTCCCACATTCAACAGGAAAAGCACATCACTCTACAAAAGGCCATCTTTGCACCTTAACAATCTACAGACCCAAAAATAGCACAGTCTTACGGCTCTAAAAACACTGCTCCAGAATGACTTAGTACCTATGTCTTATATTTTTGAAGTTTAATCAAGTTGTTCAATAATATTGACTAAATATTCTGTTTAAAAAAAAACTCATTCACCCTTCATTCAACAGAGCTAAACTTTTTCAAAGTTTTCTTTATAGTGAGAATTGTGTGTAAAAAGCTGGAGATCGTATCAAATCATACAGTGATCAGAGAATAATCTGCAAAATCTACAACAGTGCACCCTGTGGAGGAGCACGGAATCACATACAGCAACTTCTAGTTTTCCCACTTAACTGCATATGTGTTAATGCCAGTATTTCACAGGGCAACAATAGCATAAGCTGAATGTTTTATTGTCATTATAACATCAAATTTCAGGCCAATTCTTAATGTCACTTCTAGGGAATCACAGTTAACTTAACAAAATGAAGGTCCTGATGCTACTTTAGTTGAAGAAAGTATAAAAAGCAACTGTGGTGCCTCCACTGCAAATTATAATTCAAAGTTATGTCATGGATTTGGATAAGTCATGCAAATATTTAAGATTCAGCTGAATCCAAGAATTGAAAAAAGACAAATGCACAATTTTTTTGTGTGCAACTTACAGTAGATATAAAGTGATAATAGAAATTGAGAATGGAATAATACCATGCAGTTTTGTAATCATACTTTGACAGTTGCCATTTATAATACTCGTGCCATCAAGTTATTACTTGGTTTCTTGCTTTTCTATCAATTTTCTCTCTGCAGTGTTCAGTGTTGATTCCTTGTTGGGTTATAGTTCTAAGGTTGTATCCTCAAGTGACCACTATGTCTACATAAACCAAGCAGTGATGGAAAGCTCTTACAATAAGACAACAATGCAGTTAAACTGACCCATCCTCATCTATGATAATGATGATTAGTGACAACCATGGACAATTTCTGTAGTGAAGGGGCAGGAAAGCAACTGTATTGTCCCTGCTGCCTACCTGGCTTGTGATTGATTGACCCAGTACAAACTGAAGATGAAACCCATCAATCATAAGATATGGGAGCAGAAGTACGCCATTCAACCTATCAAGTCTGCTCTGTGATTTGATCATGGTTGATATGTTTCTCCACCCCCTTGGAACCATGCTGTCTTGAAGTCTTTTCAATTTATTGTAAAGGTAAGGGCATGACCAACAAAGCCACTTGTTCAAGGTAGTGATGGTGTGCTTTCTTCTTGAACTGTTTTTGCTGTCAGTGTGAGGGTACTTAATATAGTGTTTTGGGTAGAGAGTTCCAGGAATTTGACCTAACAGCCACGAAGGAGAAGTTGGAACTGATGGTGTTCCCACTCTACCTGCTGCACTTATCCTTCTGAGTAATGAAAGGTGCACATGAAGAAGCCTTGGCTGTGAATATTACACATTAATCACAAAAGCAACAGACAGTGTCTAAAGGACAGGATGAGAGGAGACAATCCACTTTTGAATAATTCCTCGAGGAACTATTTTTCACCTGTATAATTTCCAGATCGATGAAACATCCTCCTCTATTAACATGTTAGGTCTCACTGTCTTCTCTAACTTTCCACATTTCTGTATTTGCTAAAAATATTGGCAAAAATAAAAACCTATTGTGCCAACCACATTTTGTTTTTACAGTCAACACTCAGCTTTCTGTAAGTTCAATTTTTTCGGAAATTTTCAGATTTTTTAAAACTAATCTTTGTGTCACTTCATCACATTAATTTAGATTGTGTTTTCTCTTCTCTTTAACACCATTGAAAGTCTATGCTGTGAGCCTGAATCTTACCTAGGTTCCTCCAAAAACAAGTCATATTTCCAGAAATAGAAATATATGTGTCCAAAAATCAAGAACTGACAGCGCCAAGAATCTCCAAGTTTTGGAGATAAAAGATTACAATTCCCCAGCGGGAACGTACTAAAATTGGCCAAAGCACTATCAGAAATGTTCACTGCTGAATTCTTGGATGGTACAAAAGCCACCAGAATATTTGTCCTCTGCTGGATAATTTGGAAGTTACTTGCACAATGCCAAGAGAATGAATTCAGTACTTACGCCACTCTTTGGAATGTTGCCAGAGTGATTTTATCATTTTCGGCACCCATTGGGTCCATTTCAAAATCCTTTATTCCTAGAGTTTTCAAAGCTGAAATGAGTCCATGCAAGGAATTAGAACTGAGCTTCATTTCACAATAATCCATACTCAACAGCAGAAAATCCTTTACAAATAGACATGAGAATCTTACCTTCTCTATACTGCCTCAAAGTAATATGTCCTTGCTTTGTAGGATCCAAAATTCCAAACACAGCATCTAAATTTGACTCATCAAACAAGGAAGGATAGTCCTTCTTAGTCTGTCTGGCACTCTTCAGTTTTTCCAGTTGCTGTACTAAAAACTCCACTGGCTTTGCTGCAAATATTTTTAATTGAACAGTTGTTACTGTAGTTCAGTTAGTTATGTTATTCATTTTGTAAACAATGATGACAGAACAAATTTCTACACTTTGTAATAAATAGGTCAACAACCATCTATTAAAACAGCAGCATGAATGGAGTTAGCAAAACAATTCTAATTTCCTGTTCAACATATCACTACATTCTGTTCACATTTATCTCACACTTCGAAAATAAGTAGGTCTGTATACCATCTGACTATAATCTTTCAATATTTTATACTTTTGTTCACTATGAGAATTTGGACTTCCTGAACTTCTGTCCTATGTTCCTGATCTTTGGTCACCGAGAGTGCAAACTAGAGGGTCTTCTTGTCGATATGAACCTGGGTTTGGCCGGATGACCAGTACCTGGCTGGAACAAAACTAGATCGGATGAGAGGCGATTAGCTAAGTGGGAT